CATAACCTTGATAACCTTGGTGACTGATCTAATTGATTACAATCTGACATATTACTGTATAATGTTAAGGGGAACAAAACAGCTTTCACCACTTGTCATTTCCCCCAATATGAATAAATAAATAAACAAACAAAAATGTGTCTTCAGAGTTGATGGCAACACTGTACTAAATAACTAAACACCTCAAATTTCCTCAAATCAATACTGTCCGAAAAGTCAATGTCAATTTTTTTGCACTGCTCTGCCCCTCTGTGGTTTACTATTGTATTGGAGTAATGCTAGAAATGCTAGAAATGGCTTACTATGTTGTTTTAAAGATCTTGAATTATAATTTAATTCAATTTCAGTAGGGCTTTTTTTTTTTTTAACTTTCATTCATTTTCATATTTAAGCAGAATTAATACGGTTGGCACTATTTTAGTGTTGCCAGAACCAGTTCATTTTATATCAGTGGCCTACATAAAAATGTTACTTTATCCTTGTAAAAACAACCTTCTGAGGAGCCAGCAGGCATGAACAAACAAACATGTCCTCTGCTGTTTTGCTCGTTGTACAAGAGTGTTTACAGACCTTGTGTTTGGGCTGTGTCTGCAGCTCCCGTGGGAGCCGTTATTATGAATTCAGATTAAGCATTTAAACATCCAGACATCAAGAGGCATCTTAGCTGCTGACCTTTTAAACACCCACTGACTTTGACCAAAATGTGATTTTCATTGATATCATAAAGTGGCATAGTAACTTGCCCAGTTTTGTGATTGTAGTGCATATTGTTGCCCCGATCATTCCATCTTTTACATAAATTACATTACATATAGTATATACAGCCACAATTAGATTCAAGGAGTTCAGGTAGTTCAACCAAAGTCTTCATCAATTATTATTTGACATCCCTTTATGGAAGGATCTCAAAAGGTGCTCCATATTTAACACTTTCCTAACTCTTAAAAAAAGAAGGAGCCTCCAGCACAGACTGCAGCTCAAACGGAGCAAAGCAGAAAGATCAGAGAAAGATTATTCCTTAATCGGCCTTAAAAAGACACAAAACTATATATTCAAAAATTCTACTATCTTGGGTAACACTTTAGAATACGGTTCCTTCGTTAATGAATAACTACAAGAACCAATGAGTAACACAATATTAATATCTATATTAATATCTATCTAGTAACTATATTAACTAACAAGAAAGTCTGATTAACGAACTAGTAACAGCGCACAGACGAAAGTGGTAGTGCACTATTAATCAATAACTACTATTTTTTAATACTTCCCAGAGAACTAACTGAAAAAGTTTATTAACAATCTAGTAACTAGCCTACTATTAACTAAAAGAAACTCTTATTAACGAATTAGTAAATAATAGCTCACAGATGAAAGTGTTACTAGATACTTCTGTGGGAATTACTAATTATTTGGATTCGTATTATAAAGTGAAGATCATTGGAACTAACTAGTAATGACTCAAGTGTTACTAAAGACATTTTCTAAAAGTATACTAAAGTTCACCAAAAATCTCAAACATTTGCACAAATCAAGACTAGATCATGTAGTAACACTTGAGTCATTAATAGTTAGTTCCAATGATCTTCACTTTATAATACGGATCCAAATAATTAGTAATTCCCACAGAAGTATCTAGTAACACTTTCATCAGTGAGCTATTACTTACTAATTATTTGGATTATTGGCCGAGTCAGTTTGCACCATAACTTCCATCATGTATACCTCACAAAAACAAATATTTGTATTTCAATGCAACTGGGGGATACAGAAAAGGTGCCAGCCCAGAATGTCACTATATAGTGTTCCTCATAACCTATACATTGTCAGTCTTTTATTAAATAAACAGAGCTAAAGATAATGTTCGTTTCTGTCTGCACATCTCCCCAGCGGTTACTTTGTAATGCCAGTGTGATATTGCCAACATCTTTCCCCCATTGCCTTCAACAATCTTTATTTATTTTTTTAAAGGAAAGAAACAAAAGTTTGAGAGATTTTAAATGTTACTGCATCATGTAAGCATGTTGTGGATTATGGTAATGTGCATAATAGCCTATGCATTTAGAAAAATAGGGAAAAAATATTATTTTAAAATTTAAAATAATAAAAGAACATGAAATCATACTAATAAAATAACAGCATCAAAATTATCACCTTATAAGTGCATCAATGAACAATCCTGATACAACAGTATTGATGTGTCACTCTAATCATCTGGTTAAATGTCATTCAATATTGTGTTTATTCTATTGAAATTGCTTTTCTGACCTCCCTTGTCCTTATTAAAGAACATACATTTAAAACTAATTAGTTACTACATGCATACCACAAATAATATGGGAAAATCAGTCCAATAACAATAAAAATGGATAAAAGCAGAACTGTAGTATCAGAACAAAGAGGAGACTTTTGTCGTTTTGTCCTGACTCTTCAAGGTTAGTGGTTTGGGCTTCATATAATTGATTGGGTTGGAACATTAACATTATTTACAGTTTCTTTTTCCATGTCTGCCCATCTGTTTGCAGTTGTTCAGAGGTGACAAAGCCAATGTGGCACATAATATATTGTTACCATCTGAAGGACAACTTCTGCTACCAATCCAGGGAAGACACCACTACTGCATGTTTTATTTTGACACTGCATGTCAGAATTACAAGATAATTTTTCATGGAAAAAAAAGTTTTTGCTCTGTTTTTCTGAATTAACGAGTTAATTATCGCAGAATTACAAGATACTTTTTCATGGAAAAATGTTTTTGCTCTGTTTTTCTGAATTAATGACTTGATTATCTCAAAAACTCAGAAAATTCAGAAAAACAGAGCAAAAACTTTTTCCCATGAAAAATGATCTCGTAATTCTGAGATAATTAACTCGTTAATACAGAAAAACAGAGCAAACAAATTTTTCCATGAAAAATGATCTCGTAATTCTGAGATAATTAACTCATTCATTCAGAAAAACAGAGTAGATTTCTTTTCTTCAGGTGAATGCAATACGCTTCTGTAAGATCAGCATGGATTTAAACGTATATTTTATTATGGATTTTCATATTGGGGCAAGCAAACAATAAGTATCCACCTGTTTCCGGGAGGTGCTACTGTAAAAAATAAAGTGGGAGCAACTTCCGGTTAGGCGGCAGAAGTAGCGTATACCAATGGTATTTTGTGTGATTTAGTGAAGAGGCTAGGTGTTTTTCGGATAATGTTTTACTATTTAAACTAAGTTGCAAACCTTTATGAGAGATGTCGTTACAGAGCTCAGGGACACCATGTGCTGTTCGCGGTTGTACATAGGCCTATAACCGGACTAAACTAATTCAGTGGCAAATTTTATTATCCAACAATCTTAACTATATTAATCTTAGAAGATTTTAAATGAAGGCTACTGTGAAGCAACATATTCAGAACATGAATAACACACAGTCAAAATTTCTTAGTATAGGCTATATTTCTCAGGTCTGTGAGGCAAGTAGACTATGCTGAGTTTCAGTTCATTTATGAGACGAGCTGCAGTTCAGGAGCCAGCGCCTCCGTGTCTTGATTATTGTCTGCTATATTTACTCATTATTTAATAAATCTGGGTAATTTGTTGATGAAACAGTGATCAAACAAATTGATTAACATTGAAACATTGCTTCTTTCTTCGGATACTGGTCTTTTAACTGTTCCCTCAACCCGTTTGAGATTAATGGGAGATAGGGCTTTAAATCTTTAAATCTCAGCTTAATGATAATTTCTTTAGGTTAGCTTTTAATTGATTTATTGTCTTTTATGTTTATTTTATTTTACTGTCTCTTTGTGTGTTGAATCTTCACAATTTTAATTGTTTTTTTTGAGATGTACATAAAGGCGCTATAAAGGTTATTATTATTATTATTATGATTATTATATTATTAAAATTAAGATACAATTAATAGAAAATGGAATTAACTTTAAATAAAGGCTTTGTGCTTCCTGTTTGAGGTCTCTGTGAAAGTTTTAAAGCAGTCTTTTATTGTGCCGCTTTCAGGGAACTGTCACGTCCGTAACATTGTTTTTTCCTCATGAATGCAAACATGAAAAAATAAAATAAAATAAAATGAATACTTTATGTTCTGTGAAGAGCCAACCCTTCTTCATATGGTGAAAAGTATTACTTTACTTTTTGTTTGCACAGTGTAATTCACACATTTCACAGAATTACTAAAAAAATATTTTTTTCACCTAAAAGTTAAAGATTTTTTTTGTGTCACATCCCTCATAAGTATTTCCCTCTTTTAAATATATATATTTTTTAATATTTTTATGTTATATTTTTCTAATGTCTGGACTCCTTTATTAATGGAGTTTTGTGGTGTAGTAGGTCTTTTATAATGTTGACATCAAATAATACTAATAGTAAAGATATGGTAGCTATATTGGATCTGGATGGGAATGATATCTCTGGGAGTTGTAAGGGGTGTGTGGATCTGAGTATCGCGATTTCAGTTTTATATCGCAAATCGTTACAGTCCTATTTAACGTGATTCTTTTTTATTATCATGAAAATTTCTAACCTTCCAACTAAAAATTTTCTCGTGATTGGTCACATCTAAATTGTTCAATTGGCCCAAGTGAAATTCTGCAAAAGGATAAAATTAAATTTGCAGAACTTCACCTGGGCCAATTGAAAAATTTAGATGTGACCATGCAGTCACTAGAAAATTTTGAGTTGGGAACTGGTTAGAATTTTTTTACAGTGCATTTTGAGACAATGGCAGTGACATAGGATATGCCAGTGCATTTTTTTTTATTTAAAACATCTCAAACATGCATTTTAGTCTGAGACTAGGCATGACTGTTGGCCTTGTTTGTGAAACCAGCCGTTTATGTTTATTTATTTTCAAGTTTGAAGCAACATTGCCAACTCGTCTCAGCTATATCCACATACCGACTCTGCCACTAGGGGCCAGACTCCTCTCTCCTTTGAACACTATTGTTGGGTGTTGAATGCTAAGCGAGGTGTTTTTCTCCTCCTCCAAACCTGAAGCCGTGTTCCAATGAAAGCAGGTGGAATTCCCCCTTTCAACCAATGGCGCTCTGCCCTCGCAACAATCTCTTCGAAAAGGATGTGTGGGCTCGGATATGGCTCTGGCGTGAAGTTGTTGGAAACGGACAATCCCAGGAAGCAGGATTTTGGCACTACTACACCAGCTAAAGCTTAGGGCTACCCGCTTGAATGGGAACGAGTGAGCGGATCATTCATATTCGGTCAAGCGAACACTGGGAATCCACTTCGGCGACGTCGGATCGAAGAAAATAGTGATTTCTACAAAAGTTGCTCTGTCAAAAGCGAGCACGCATGAGAAATAAGGGTGACCTCTGGATAAAAAAAGGCATGGATCACAAGAGTTAGACTAAGTTCTGACTCCCCTCGAGCTGTTTGTTTGTTTTTTCAACTCTGGAGAAGGACGTAAAACAGTCAACATGCCTGCCAAAACAAAATACAATTTAGTCGATGATGGACACGATTTGCGGATTCCTTTACATAACGAGGAAGCATTCCAACATGGGATTAATTTCGAAGCAAAGGTGAGTTTTTCTTTTAACACGAAGATGTTTTTCAGCAGTATGTTTTATTTACATCCTGTTGCAAATCCTGTTTCCAGTCCTAGGATACATTTAAAGTTGTTTTGCCAATGTTTACATTCCGTGTTGCTAATTTAATTGAGCGCGTGAGTTCTGATAGCACATCTAGTTTTACTAAACCCAACTTGTCGGCGGGAGACCTAATATATTTCATCTCGTTGGTTTTGATTTCCAGTATATCGGTAGTCTGGATGTGGCTCGACCCAATAGCCGTGTGGAGATTGTTGCGGCCATGAGGCGGATAAGGGTGAGTTTTTGTGGTTACAGTTTACTTTAACTGCTTTCTAAAGTCGAGTTAGCTTACAAAGTTTACTAATGTCAGTCATTAGATGTATAGAACTGCCTTGTTGGTATTCCAATAAAGCGCCACGACGAAATGACTCATCCTCTATTCCGCATGGGTGGTCTTCATGCCTCGAGCAACAATCAACATACAAAAGCAGGACAGATCAATGAGCAAATTGCCTACAACATGAGAGGATGGGATATTGATAGCTCTGTCAAAGTTGCTTTGATAAACATACACATACTTAAGTCCTGTAAAATACGTCGCCTTTGGGCTTTGGCTACTACAGTGTTCTGGTATTTCCATGTGTGTAAACAGAGAAGGGCTCTTTGAAGTGGGGGTCTTCTGACTCTGAGTAAAGCACTTAAAGGGACAGTTTTGGCGCCCACAAATCACGGGCTATGAGAATGCAGTGGCTTCCTTTATTTTATTGTAATTGTGTTTTAAACACATTTTCCCAATTTAAAATCTTCACATTTACATGTAGTAACTAATGGGTCTGCAAGCTACTTTCTGAATCTCAGGGTCAGTGTTCACTGCTTACTCAGTAGGCCTGATATCTTTAAGTTGTTCAATTTGCCTATCGAAATGCCCTGAAACGTCATCAACTTTTAAGAAAATATATGAGGATGGATGTATTATAAATTGTTTGTAGCTCATCACATTGGAAACCCCAAGCTTTTTTTTCTAACTTTAATTTAACTATAGCCTATTTATTTATTAACTTAATGACAGTATGCTCTTAAGTATGAAAATCCATATTAAAAATGTTATGTTCTCTTCAACCAGCTACAACAATAGAGGTAAAAATAGTATGGAATTAATACCCAAGTCTGATCTTCAATCCTGTTTGTTGTCAGTTAGCTGGATTAATGGCAGGTTCTCAAACATCCACTGCTGTATTGCTGTCAGGGAGGTTTCACCTGAACATACTTCCTTTTCCTGGTATACTTTGCATTCTATGGCCCAGATTTCGCTATTACGCTGAAACTTATTTCAGGGAAGTGTGATAAGAGGTGGTTTGAATGTAACCATTGTAAGGCATTTTTTTGTTGTTGTTTTTGCAACATCCTGGTATCCAGGATGGCAGCAGACATCAGGTGCAAATAATCCTATTAACCTTTTCAGTACGCTGGACCCCCTGCAATGATCTACTGGCTAAGGGACAACCTGGACAACCATGAAAACCATGCGTTTACAGCAGGGAAATACTGTGTGAACACAAAAGTTGCACAAAACCAATCATCCTGTAGTGGTTAAGAAGTAGTTTTAAGTTCAAGCAGTGACAGCATTGTTTGAGCTTGCAGTAGACTGCCTCTAAAAGACAACGCATAGGCTACAGTAACTTATGCAACACTGATACTGAGAAATGTTCCTAATTGAACACTCCTAACTATAAATGTGAGCACATTTAAGACAATCCTTTCCTTCACAGGATGGATTTTGCTATCTGTTGATTACTTAAATTGTAGATACTTTATTTTGCAGAATATTGCATCAGACCATGCATAAAATATTTGGCATACAAAACATTGCATTTTGAGGAGAAATTCTATGCAATAATGCTGACAAAAGAGATCCTACTTGTTTGATTTTAAGTCCCATTCACCGTAAATTATTTGGCAAGCAGTTTGGCAAGCAGCTTCTCTGTTTTGTTACTGTCTATTGTTTATTGCTCACTGTTTGTTGCCATTGTGTACTTTAACGAAATGCACGCCATGGCATATGATTTGTTCCAACATAGGACATTTCCATTATTCCAAGATGTCATGTAACATCTAGAGAATGCATTATTGCAGTTTGCAACTTTAGTCATTTCAAAGTGAAAGCTTAATGTAAAGAGAGTAGTGCATACGTAGTTAAATGTTTCAGTGTTTTCTGTTCTCTGGTATTTCACTTTGTAGGATCGTATGATGCGGTGTCTATGAAGGAAAGGAGAACATTTCAATGGCTGTCGGAAATAATTTCCGTTTAATCTGCTTTTGATCTTAATTGCCATCACCCTGATAAAGGAACTTGGGTTGAAGGGATCCGGTGAATATGTTGGTTTCACTTTAAGCAGATAAAGTTTAAATATTGAGGTGAGATCAGGTTCCTCAGACATTTTGGTCAATAGTTAGGCTATGTTAAGAAAAAAAATTCAGACGCTCTATTTGTGCAGGAAGAGGTGATTTAGAGTGTGTTGGGGAATTAAAAGCTTGAAGACTATAATCATTGGTCATTTTCACCACACCCAGATTCAGTTTACCCAGTATAATGAGCTGGAGTCTGAATTGTTTATAGGCTGTTGTTGTCATGCTTTATTTGGTGCAAAAAAAATGAATGTTTGTTAAACACCAAATAATAGAAATAAAAGTCTAAACAAATGTCTAGATCCCCTAAAAGATTGTCTTGTTTTCTTCACTGAACAACAGTTAAGTATTGTAGTGGTTGATTGTACTGACAGTTTCTTAGCTTCAGTTTATTTCCACATGATCTCTCTCAGTTAGCCTGTTGTTATTTTTTTTATTGTTGAGCATCACAATATACGACAAGTCCACTTAAGCCTCAAGCCTTTTTAGTGTCAAGCAGCAGTAGTGGTTTGTTTGACGCAAATGTGTGGCAAAATAACCCTAACCCAATGCATGACAAGTTGACTAAATTATAGGCTTACCTTAATGTTTACTGTAGCCGCTTCACTGATGAGATACCTGCTAGCAGATGCCTTGTATGCAAGAACCTGATCGTGACATGATTTTTGTTGAGATACTGTCAGATTTGGAAAGGGGAAAATTTACAGTCTTGCAGTCCTCTTGTAAAAGCTTTTAAGCTATTTTGCATAGCCCAGCACACTTTGCTCTTATTGCTGTGTCTCAAATTTATTGCATTATATATTGTTAGCTTTAAGATGGTCAAACCTCACTCTTTGGAAAAATTGATGATCTGCACTTTAAAACGGCACCTTAATTAACTGACTGATTAAGTGTTGTCGGAATGAATTCCTTCATATCGAGGTCTCTCCTCTAACACTGTGGAGGTGGACTGGAAATGTTGACAACTAATTTTTATAGGAATGATTTCAAGCTAAAAAAAAATTAGGTGATCTTTCCTGGTTGTGATTCACTGCTGTTGGAACTGGTGGTTTCCAGTCCCAGCTGAACCTTGTCTGAAAAATGAATAGCCTTATGTTCATATAAAGACATTCTCTGCATCCGAATGTGAAGACCATAGCTCCCCTTTTCCCTTGATGTGATGAAAGTGTGGTTCACAACTGATTTCTATTCTACAAGGGTTGGGAAGAGGGCTGGGGAAATATTTGGGACAGGGAACCTCTGAACCTTTAGCTGTGTTGAATGAAAGCAGAAAGCTCATGAAGAGTGTTCTATTGGCTCTTATTGATTCTCCCTTTCTTTCCCTTCATCAAACCCATTTGGACGTAACACTTAGTTTAGTTTAACTGTTTCCATTGGTTCATGTTGGTTCAATTTTGTTGTTTGAGTTTAAAGCTACACTGTGTGATTTTTACCCCCATCTAGCGGTGAAAAGGTATATGACCATCCAGTGAATATTAGTTTCTGTTCCTCTCAATTACAATTTTGTTTTAACTCCTACGGTGGCCAACATAGTCCAAGATTAACATGGCTTCCAGTTCGACCTCGTCCATGAGTGTTAACTCAAACTTAAACGCGAAAGGCGAAGCTTGAATTAACGGGTATGTCCGTCTTTAGCTAATATACTTTCAAGATGGAGGGGCAACATGGCGACCGACATTAGAACCCCTTACCCGTATGTATTTTCAATGGCATATTATACACTCACGAGAATACTTTATTACTTGAACGAAGTAAATATACATTAATGAGCACATATATTTTTGAAAGAACTAAGTGTTTTTAGCTAAGAATAAACTAAAAGAGTTACACAGTGTAGCTTTAAAGTCGTGAAGCTGTAGAAATAGCGACAGATCTGTGTTCCGTATTGTGATATACATTTGACTGTAACAGATTATTAGAAAGGGAAAAAAAGTAGAGCGGGAGTTGGTTCTATTCATCAGTTATTGATTGGATTTTGAGATTTGGGATCAAAAAGTGGAGCTAGATGAACGTGCACTTGATGTCCCTCATACTGCACAAGAGAAGTCTGTCCATTTCAAGGTCAATAAGGTCACAAATTAATTGTTCATATATCTATAATATGCATTTAGAAAGTAAATGGTATGGATATTAAGTCTGGTACAGAGATTGGCCAAAATAAAGCAAAAAACAGCTGGTTGCCGATTGTGTGTTTGGAGTAAAACCTTTCCAGTTTTGTTTTATTTTGGCTGTTCTCTGTTCCGTACTTGCACACAAACTGCATTGCACTTATAATTTCCCAAAATGTCATTTTTGTGGAAATATACGAACTCTGTAGGACATACTGAAGACGAACACGTGGAGTGAAAATTCTGTAAGCGCAGCAAGTTCACGGTTCAATGCCCTAAATATTGGATTGAGGGTTTTGAACATGTATTCTCTAAAGGGAACTGACTGTCTTCAGAAAAGTTTCGATGGCATTTTCTTTTCCTCTTACCTCCATGTAATGTCTAATAAAGTAGTGTTTATAAGCGAAGCGCTGCATTGTTTACAGCTTTGAATTTTCTTATTTTTTTATTCAGCCCTTCTGCGTTTTTTTTGTTTTGCGCATGTGTGTTTTATGTAATATAATTTCACAATTCTAAAGTCAGACCATTCTGTAGTGTTTTTGCTTTAAGTCTTGAAATCATACAATATAATATCAAGAACAACTGCTCTTCTTACATGTAGCATCTTTGTTTGATCATGATTAAAATGCAGTGGTTGTGGTTGGCAACTGATACGTTTTGTTTAAGGTCAAAGGCAACCGGTATCGGAATTGGGCCATTTGCTTGTAAAATCAGCAGTCATATTCGACCATGAAAAACATGATTGGTACATCCCTAATTAATTTTCATTTCATTCTGACTT